AGATTCCAGGCACATTGACCTCCAGGGTGCTGCCTTTTGAGCTGGTGTTTGGAAATGGAAGGGTGGGTGCTGAGGCCAGCAAGGGCCCTCCCAGGGGGCCTGGGGGCCTTGCCAACATGTTTGAAATAGAACACTGGGGAGGTGCCACGAGGAGCAGCATGTACGATATGTGGTCTTCACATTTCTGAGGCTGGAGTGTGGAGGGTGGGTGGTGAGAAGCAAAGTAGAAGTTGGGAGAAGGGCTGGAAGGGGTTCCTTTGGGGTCCTGGTGGCCTGGGCTTGAGGCTGTCAGTGATGAGGCAGAAGTGGTGTGAGAGTTAAGATGGGGACTATATATCAAGGAGGTAGTGAGCAAAGACACAGGGACAGGATTCCAGATGGCTCCCCATTTCCAATTCCTGCAAATAAAAGGGTGGTAATGCTGGTTCTGAAGTCATGAATCTGAGAGTCAGACTTGGGAGTGGCATGACTTAGCGCCTGTCTAGTCTGTGCTGCCATGGGATGACCAGGGCAAGGACAGTTGAACAAGGTTTCCTGAGTTGGAAAGCAAACTTGGGGAATAGTGGCTTGCAGGGCAAACTAAAGCTGCAGATATGGACATATTTAATAAGAACAGTGAAGACCGCTGTTTAATGAAAGTAGCCTTTTCTCTCACTGCTGTATTTTAAGGTTCAGATTTAGGAGAATTAACTGCCCAGTACTGCCCTCTGCAGGGCAAGGGGTCTAACAATTTTGTTCCAGAATTGAAAGTAATTCAACTAAATGGAATCTTTTAACCAATGCTATAAATTTATTCATTTTTAAGGTTGGAAATCCTGTGGCTCACCCTGTGTCAATTTCACAATCAAATTGAAATTGAGGTTTGTATAAATACAGTGTTATACAATGCTGTGTTGGGATTATAAATACATTGTATCAAGGTATTTTATAGATACAATGTTATATTAGTATCTACTCAAATATAATGTTATTCAATGTTACACTGTCTATACAGATACAATATTATATAGGTGTCTAAATAGATACAGTGTTAGTGTTATGTTGATGTTTATATTGATACAATGTTACATTGTTACTGCATAGATACAATGTTATGTCATCTATCTCTTTGAACTCTTGCCATTTCATATGGCTCCTTAGAGGTGCTTTCCAGTAGTTTTGCATTAATCACTTTGTGTGTCTTGGATGATTTTGAGTCTACTCAGATAGGATTTTTTAGATCAACAAGGAAACTAAACCTGTCATTCTTTTATTATGGTTAACACAGCTTAAGGGCATATAAAATTGCACATATGCAGTGAATAATTTTTTTAGCTTTTATTTTTACCTGATACTAATACTGTTGAATTCATACTGCTAAATTTGTCATACTGTCATTTTCTCTTTGATGCTTGGTCAGATCATGTAGCCTTCCTTTCAGTTTGCATCCCATTGGATGCCTCAGATGAAGTTACAACACCCATCCTCTCAGCTAAATTAAATGCAGTTATATTTGTTCAGCTTGTAAATTTTATCTGAGTGAATGAGAAACAGAGTTTATTTTCTTAAAAAGGGAATTAATAGGCTACTCCTGCACTTGAAAATTAAAGATGAGTCGTATGCAACTTAAGTATCTAATGAAACAATTTACTACCTTCTGATAAATTTTGCAGAGTAAAACTGACTACAAATGAGATGGCTTTCTGCCAGGTTTTTCACTTCAGTAGACTGGAAGCCACTTAATACTCAGGAGCTGAAAGGGCCTTGGCCTGAATCCAAGGATAGCAGCCTACTGCTTAGGACATTTTATGTGGCTTGCCTGCTGGTGGCCAGGAGCACAGTGGAGCCAGGCTCTGAGTAAGACAAGCTGGGGCTGCTCTGGGCCTCCCAGTTGAAACAGCTCTATTTCAGACCTGGCTTCTTATTATAAGCATTGAAAAGAAGCTGTGTGCCCTCTAAATGTATTTCCTGGTGTTACTCCTCAAGATGCCAATGCTAATGTGAGGAGCTGTAAGCCAAAGGTTAGAGTTCTGTGATGAGAGTTGATAGGATTTTAGGATATTCCTTGGTTCTTAAATATTCATACTAAAGAAAAGGGCTTAGTGGTGGTGGTTTGCCTTTATGCAACACAAAACTGAGACCTTTAGAAATGAAAACACACATGTAATTCTTTTACATCTAAAGACTAAGCCCCTGCATGAAATTACAAATACAGTGCCCTGGCTACGACTTCAGTGTCAGGGGAGTGGGCACTCCCAGTGAGGAATGGCAGGTTGGGAGTTGTCACACACACGTGCATGTACGTGCACATGGTGGCTGCATGTGTGCATGTGCACGTGTGACCTCTTCAAAGGTGATTCTAACGGGAAGAGCTTTGACAGATCTCAATTTTGTCAGGCTCATGATTGTCACTCATGCTGGCGTTGGGTAAGGCGGGTGTCTTGTGATACTGTGGGAGTAATGCAGCCTCCTCTGTGCTCAGTTCCTTCCCGTGTACAGCCCTTCAGAGGCGGAGAAGAGGGACCCTGCCCTGTACGCAAGCAACGTGCGGCGCGTCATGGCCGAGTGAGTGCGCCCTCTCCCTCCTCCCAGCCTCCCGGATTCCTTGACCTCCCTGAGTATTACCCAGTACTCTTGCTTCCCTGCTGTTTTCCTCCTTAGCGTTGCTAAAAACAAGAAAGCCAACAGCATTTGGAAATGGGTTCTTGCCAAAGCTAGTGAACAGCATGGACTGCACCTGTTGGGCATACCTTATGTCTCCTGTTTTTGTCAGATGACATTTCTGTTTGTTCAGCATTTGGAAGATGCTTAAACATCACTTAATTTCACGAATATCCATAGCCATCAGTCACTCAGGTGCTGCATGTATGGGCACCCCATTGCTGATGGGCAGCAGAGCGATCAGCGAGAGCACTGGCTTGTGCAGACCTCAGGGTCTGGGCTGGAGCGTCCTCAAAGCTTCACTGTCCGTCTCCCCATACAGTGTTTATTAATGTTCCTGCTCCATCTTACCACATTCAGTGTGGTAATTGTACATCTAACCTTGTACAAATATGCGTCCCACTTGTATGGTGCCCATGCCGCAGTCAGGACCACGCTCACCTGTTTCCTGCCATTCCTGGCTTGTCCCAGGTAGTGGTAGTGTCAGCTCACACACCTCCCCCTCTAACCGCCTTCATCCCTCCTGTCCCGTCCTCTCCCCCTCTCCTCCTCTCTCCTATTCCAGGGCAGCAGGGGCTGCCTCTGACTTTGGCCACCTTGGTGCCTGGAAGGGGGCTCAGCAGCTCAGCGGCTCTGACAGTGAGTGTCACTTGTGTGGGGGTCCACGCGGCTGTCTAGGGGTTCCTAACAGTTGCTATTGCTGGCCTGTGTGACAGACTTCTAGAATAAAACATTTCAGTATACCCCTACTCTAATGCATTCTGTGAGACTATATTGGGCAAAATCATGCATTCTCACCTCTACATACAAGGTGTTTGGTCTTTGTCCACGGGCTCCTCAGAAAGTTGACACTAGAGACAGAGTGCAGCAAAACACCCCCTCTCACCGTGGGCACCCACCCTCTGAAACTCCTCCCTCTCTTTCTCCTTCTCCCTCTCCGTATCACATACTAGCCACAGGGATAAACTTGATTCTCAACTTTTGGGAAGTCAGGGTGCTCAGTGACACCCTTGTTCAACCTCTTGATAAAAATAAAATATCCATCCATGGAGTTGCAGGCTCAACAGGTTAGGTATAAATATGCTTAGTACACATTGAAATAAATTAACTATTAACATTTTTAAAGAAATGTATCCTAAAGATACTATTCCTGTGAATAGAGAGGAATCATCATATAGTCCATGGAAGGGGACAGATAACTCATGGGGCGCTCCCTTGCCTCAGCAACTGCAGGACAATTTCAGTAGTTGTTACCTCCCTCATCTTTACTCTCACCTTCAGATACACCTGGAAGGGGCCAGGATCCCCAAGGGCTCAGTGGACAGTCTCTGAGCTGACCGTGTCCCGCCTTCCTGTGGAATAGTCTGAGGCACTGCTGACAGGGTTCTGGCCTCTGTCCCCAAAGGGTTATACCTGAGTTTGTTGAGAATGTCAGAGTTCCTGTTTCTTCCCCACGTGATTGCAACTGTTATCGTGGCAGCAGGAGCTTTGATCCAAATAATTGCGAGCCCACTCAGTTATAAGGTTGGGAGCTGTTTAGTTTTCTATACTTCATAAATTTCCTACCTTGAATGTTTTCTTTAATAGTCAGAAAGGTTATTTTTCATGGACTCTTGACACAGCTCTGAGAATGGCTGAGTTCTGACTCCACAACTTCAGGGAAGTGTCAGCTTTTATAAAAGCGATCCCTGGTCACCTGTAAAGAGTTGAGCTTCTCCATAAAACACCCCCGTGGGCTAGTGTCATCATCTCAAAGACCAAATGCATGCTTGTTTCCTAGTGGGGCGCAGACTGAGATAATACTGAGCTAACAGCGAAGCTGGAGGCAGCTCTTAGGTGTTTATGTTTAGTGTTAAACTTTCCACATGGTCCCTCTGTGCATCTTGGTGTTCAGAGCCCTCCCCTCATATACTAATCGTGTGTGGTGAGGGTGCCGCGGGGGCTCAGGGCAGGATGTAGGACACGCATGCTGTCATTGCCTCTGCCAGCGTTTCTGCATCAGAGCTGACTTAGGAGAGCCCCAGGGAAGCTCCTGTGAAGCAGGGTGGCCTCTGTGCAGGGTGCTCATAGTAGGGGCCCTCCTCTCTGCCGTAGGGCCCTGGGAGTCTCTGTGACCGACTACACCTTCGAGGACTGCCAGCTGGCCCTGGCGGAAGGTCAGCTTCGTCTCCCTGCAGACACCTGCCTTCTAGAATTTGCCAGGCTGGTGAGGGGCCTGGGGTGAGTGCCTTGGTTTTTTTTTTTTTTTTTCTTCTGCTTACTTTGGATTTAATTTTCTCTTTACTTTTTGTTTCATAATGTGAAGCTTAGAAGAATGGTTTTAGATTATTTTTCTAGTATATGCATTCAATCCTGTAAATTGTCCTCTGAGCACTGCTTTTGCTGTATCACACAAATATCCATACCTTATATTTTCACGTTAATTTAGTTTAAAATATTTTGAAATTCCTCTTAAGACATCTTTTTCTGACCAATGTGTTATTTACAACTATGGTGTTAATCCCAAAATACTTTTCCAGCTATCTTTCTATTATTAACTTCTATTTTAATTTCATGGAATCTGAGATTATATTTTGCATTGTATCTATTCTTTTAAAATCGTTTGGATGTGTGTTATGGCCCAGAAAGTGGACCAATTTGGTGAATATTTAATGTGAGCTTGAGAAGAATGTGTATTCTACTCTTGTTGCATGACATATTCTATAAATGTCAATTAGAGCCATTTGCATTATGAGGCACTTCAGTTCAACTATATCCTTACTGATTTTCTGCCTGCTGGATCTGTCCATTATTGACAGAGGGTTGTTGAAGTACCCGATTATAAGAGTAGATTTATGTTTTTCCTTGTAGTTCTAGCACTTTGTGAGTCATGTATTTTGATGCAGAATTATGTGCATATACNGCTCCCTCAAATGCTGTGACGAGCATCAGGGTTGCAGCGTGTGACACGGCAGTTGCAATGTGTTCAACAACAGTGAGAGGAAAGCTTTGTGCTGGACCAGGAACTTCTGGCCAAACCTAACGGGTCTCCACCCTGCAGGTTTTGGTGACTGAGCTGGAGGTCGCAGCGCACCCAGGGCTGCCTGCCGTCACCTGAGACGAGACAGGGAGTCAAGGAGAGAGCCAGAGGGCTTGTTCTGTAGTTTGGTTATGTTTCTTTTTTCAAATACCAACTTCAGTCCACACAGATGTCTTAAAAGCCCTAATGGTTGGTGCCAGCTCTCTGGAGCTACCCCAGGAGGACGTCCTGGCTCACAGAGCGCCCCACTGAGGGTGTAAGTGCCTAGCGGACACACAAAATGCGTCACGTGCCTTCAAGTTACTAGAAGCCTCTTTTTGAAAATCAGCTGCTCGGTCTATAAATAATTTTGATATTTTGTTGGGTTTTAAAACAAGACAGTAAACGTCCTATTTTTGGCATTCTCTGATTTTATTGGAAAAAACATTTTCTCTTTTTTTGTTTAGCCTGAAACCAGAAAACCTTGAAAAAGATCTGGATAGGTATGCGGAAAGTGCGAGGATGAAGAGGGGTGGGAAGATCAATGTCTCAGAGTTTGCTGCGTACCTGGAAGTCCCTGCCTCAGACACGCTGGCCGACATGTTCTCACTGTTTGACGAGGTAGCACAGGCACCCAGCGGGGGGTGGGGGGAAAAACCTTTGTCTTTTCAAAGTCTAAAAGGTTTTCCTTGCAATATAAACATTCTTTAGACAATTTTGGAAGCAGAGAAAGGAAAACCACCCTCGGTGGCCCCATCCTACCAGCCCACCTGTCCTCTGGGGTTTTTTCTCCCATGTGTTTAAATGCACAAGGGATTTGACATTTAAATTAACATTTGCTGATAAACATGTTTGTAGTTTGGGTTTTCTTAAATCAGGTCACTAAAAGGATGAGTGACATCACACAGTGAAGCCAGCCTGGCCTGTGGCCCCTGCCATATTTCTTCCCCAGAGGCCTCCACTAACCCTGCTCAGCCAGGCCTTCGGAATTTCTAAACAGTGGCCTCTTTCCGGACAATCAGCTTAGAGGTTCCCCATCAGCCTTCTGTTGAGAGCATGGGAGTCTCTCCCCAGGACAGCACCCCCTCCCCTCTCCACCAGGCACATCATAATCAGGTTATATGGCTAAACAAAGTCAAACATCACTGCAGCTCTGGAAATATGGGTGGCCTTTTGGGGTTTGGGTGAGTGGGAGACAGAGAACCAGGCTGCCATGTAACCAGAAACTGGCCACGCCTGGTAATTCCTGTCTTAGTGCGGACACCTATGCTGTGCATCCTGTGGGAGCCAGTCTTGTAGCTTGGTGTGTGTGAAAGGGCCCCTTCAACCATGAATGTCCCATGTGAAAAACATAGTGTGTCCCGTGTGACACATTGCATGTTCTGTGTGGCCACAAGGCACAGCGTTATCTGGCGTGGGAGAACCAGGAGGATCAGGTGAGTGATCTGGACATGAGACTCTCATGAGTTTGCAGGTTCTGCAGCACCACAGTGTGTGTGGAGGGTGTGGACCCATCTGAGAGACCCCCTGACATAAAGGCAGCTTTATACTGTTGAGGGTGTGGATTTCCGTTGCTGTTAGAGCCACAACTGTGGCTACATTTCACTCGGGAACTTTGACAATAGTGTCAGGTTTAAAATACGAGAGTGAGCATGGTTTTGGCCAGTGACGTCTCCTGGTGACATCTCCTGGTGATGAGTTGTTGGTGACCTTCATTGAGCCCCAGACATCTTACCATAGTGGGTGGGTTGTTCATGTTTGTTTTTTACTGTTTCAGGGGCACAGTGGCCTTACAAGGTAGGAATATTCCCCATTTCACAGAGAGCCTCAGATCTGAGGCTAAACACCTTCCCAGAGCCAGGGGCACATAGACTTGGGCCTGGTGTGCACTCAGTCTGCGTGGTACCTGCAGCTGGCCTAGTGCTGCGTGTCCGTGTCCAGCTCGGGAGTCACCTTTGTTTTGCTTGCTCACTGTGTGGCCATCAGCAGGCTAGGTTTTCAGAGCCTGGAAGTGAGCCTTGTTGGCAGGTTTTGTTTTTTTTCTAAAAGGAAAGCCTTCACAGGCAACAGTCACCACGTTGCACGTACTTTCTCGAGCAGCTTCACTGACGGTTGCATAGACTGAAAATTATAACGGCCTAAAAAAGTGTGTGTGGAAAAAGCAGTGGTTGGGAACGTTCTTCAAATGCTCTCATGTAGACAAATGATCTCAAGTTTGCGTGGAACTAACCTTTAGTTAACACCCAGCGGCCAGTGTTGCACCCCAGCTCTCCCACGGGAGGTAGCCAAGCTGCCCCTGAGGGCGTCTCTCTTTTGCAGAGTGGGAGCGGCGAGATGGACCCACGGGAGTACGTGGTTGCCTTGTCTGTCGTCTGCCGGCCAGCCCAGACCCTGGACACCATACAGCTGGCGTTCAAGGCAAGTGCGGGGTTCACTTGAGTTTAATTTATGGGGACAGTGAGATGTGGGTTACATCAGACCTGCGATGTACCTTTAGAGTCCATTATAATGTGGTAACAACCTATGTTCACATAAGCTTATACCAGCCATTGTTTGTAAAAATGCACCCAAACCTCCTCAAATCATATTCCTCCTAGAATAGTCATCCTCACTCATGAGAAAGGCATAGGACAGGGTCCTTCTGAGCCCTGGGGCACTTGGGCAGGGCAACTGGGTGCCACATGTCTTACTGGCTCTCCCAGCATGGCCTCTGAATCAGCCCGTTGACTGGGAAGAAAGCAGGGCCCAGGGTACTAAGCAGCCCAGACAGGCCATTTGCCACTGGTGCTGGGAGTCTGGGAGCTGCAGAAGTCCCTTGATGGGGTCCCAGCCCACCTGCAGATAGGGCTGGCCTCACCAGGACACTGTCACCTAGGATGGAGTTGGGCCAGCTTTGCCCACCTGAAGACACAGTTTTATCAGGGTCTCAGAGTGGGTGCTTCTCTCAGGTTCAATTCACATTAGCCAGACCCATGAAAACCTGATGTATAAGTCAGGAAGCTGCTTGTCTCAATGGCTGGAGAAGCCTCTCTTGGTTCTGACGCAGCAGACCCTCTTCATAGCAACACTGGAAAGTTCCCCTCAATATAGGTCGCTAATGTGGATCACGCCAGGGGGTTCACTGGGCAATGTCAATATTTGGTAGCTCCTGTCTTGGGAAGCCTGACCTGCCTCCTCCAGGCCTGGGCAGGCCACATCCAGGGACCCCGGGCCTGCATCCAGGCCACCCTGTGGTGTGGGCTCATGATTCCTCTGGTGACCTTGCCTTCAGCACCTCCTGTTCTGATGGGCCCCTGCCCTGCAACTTCTCTTAGTCACCCAGTAGAATCTGTAACAGTTGTTGGGGAGGTGCTTAGCTTGTTTCTCAGAACACAGAGCATGACCATTTGGGGGCCATGTGCCAAGGCTCCCACCTGAGGGGCAGGCATAATGGGCAGTGGGAGGAGGTGGCACCAGGTAGAGGATGGCACCCCTCTTCCCGACACGATGGAGCACGTGTCACCAGCACTTCTCTGGGAAGCCTTCCCTCACAGGGAACTGGCATGGATGGTAACAGCTCATGCTGCCCCGTGGTGACTGCTCCATCATTTGCCAGAAACTAAACAGAAGCCATCAGAAAGAGGATGTGGTCAGTGGGTTGGCTACCTTCTAAAGGTCAGGCAAGGTGCTGGCTGATTTGTTTCATTGAGCAAAAGCCCATGTGTGCCAGGCAAGGCCCAGAGCACAGGCACCATCCCTGACCAGGTGGACAAACGCCATCCCACGGAGCCCACCTGTAGGTGGGAGGGCAGGTGACCTCTCAGAAGGCTCAGCACTCCCCAGGGTATCAAACTGGTTCTGGCTATTCTGTCTGGTGGGTTCAAGGCCTGCTGGAGAGCTAGAGTACCAAGGCGAGGGAAAACAGGCCACTCTGGACAGGCAGTTGGAGTTGGTGGAGCCCGAGGACAGAGGAGAGGGACCTGGGGTGATGCCAGCCTTGCCTTGCAGATGTACGGGTCCCAGGAGGATGGTAGCATAGACGAGGACACCCTGTCCAGCATCCTCAAGACGGCCTTAGGGGTGGCGGAACTCACCGTGACCGACCTCTTTCGGGCAATCGACCAGGAGGAGAAGGAGAGGATCACGTTCGGTGAGGGTCCCCGGGAGCAGGGAGGACAGCCCACTTGTGCAGGAAGTGGGGGCACACATGGTGCTACCCACCTGTGCTCGCCAGGCCACCCTATGTCTTCCGCAGCACAGAAATTCTCAGGAGGAGGGTTTTTCCTGAAACCTGGCCACGAAGGGTGGGAGCTTTTGAATCTGATTTCTGCAGGCAGTTAATAGAACCAAATTCCAAGCTTGGCTGTAGAGATTGGACCCAGGATAGACGCCATCCTGGAGGCTGCAGATGTGTGTGTCAGGCCAGAGCAGGACATCCGCAATCAGGGTTCCAGATCAGGGTCCCAGTGCAGGAGCGAGTCCACCCGCCCATGGGGACTGACTGCTGGGCAGCTCCTCTCTGGGAAGGTTTTGGCTTCATTACCTGTGGCTACACAAAGTGAGACTGCCCAGATCCTCGGGGACCAGGACCTGAAACCTGCCTGCGGGCTGAGGAGAGGGGTGGGCAATAGGATCTCAGAAGGTCGCCTGCTCAGCACACTGGCCAGCGTGCACATTTGGAAATGAGTAAGTGTTCTTGCTAAAAAACAAGCAGACATTTGCTCAGGAAAGGTCATCGTGCACGTCTTGTTTGGACATGTTTTAAAATTGCATCCAAATGTCAGGCACGGGTGTGGGGTGGGAGGTGGTTCTTAGCTGTGTGTGTGTACACATGCCGCTCCCGCATGCATCTACATTAAAGTAGGCCCTGCTTCCCAGTGGAAATGGGGGTTGTTGATGAGGTTTGTAGTGAGCCTGACCAACAGCAAACTTCTTTAGTAAAAGCCGTTCCAAGTTTCTAGCAAGGAGAGATGCATGTCCCTCGAGCCTACAAGCTTCCACACCCAGGCCTCTGAGCATCACCTGCTCTCAGGATGCCTGAATGCAAGCCTGAGGGTGCTCTCCACCCCAACACCGACCCTGGGTCACTGGGAGGTGTACAGGCAGGAAGCATTCGGGCCCTGTGACCAGCTCACAGGGTGACCCTCTGTGCACAGCTGGTCCTCCGCAGTGCTCAGACGTGTCCATCAATAGCACCTGCCTCATGGAGTATCAGTCACCACGCGGACGCTCCGTCCTGTCCCTGAACCATTCCTCTGATGAGCAGCGTCTCCCTCACATGTACACAGTCCCCACTGAACTCAGAATCGTTCAATTTCTTTAGATTTCCCTGAAGCACGAGTAGCTGAGAGGATGCAGTGGCTGCCCCTTTGCTTTCACTGTGATTTTGTGCACAGCAGAGAATAACTGAGTGCAGATTCTGTCCTCACCTCCAAGACCATCACCATAGACCCCACCCCTGCCAGAGTGAGCAGGGGAATGCACGGAGGCCCAGGGAAGAGCTCCAAACTGGATGCCCCAGTAACCATGGTGCCCTTGTCTTTCCAGCTGACTTCAGCAGGTTTGCAGAAATGTACCCCGACTTTGCAGAGGAGTATCTGTACCCCGACCAGCCACCTTTCCAGAGCTGTGCACAGATGCCCCAAGCTCCCACCCCCAACGGCTTCTGTGCTGACTTCAGTCCTGAGAACTCGGATGCTGGGAGGAAGCCTATGAGTAAGAAACTGGACTAGGACTGAAGGTGCTGGAGAGACGAGGTTGCTCCCTGGCGGTGGCCACCCCACCTCCACATGGCCGCCAGCCCGTCTGCTGTGACCACCTCCGAGTTCCACTCTCCACATAGGCTACACGGTCACTGTCCCCAGGCCCGAGTTCCAGAGCCTGGGGGTGTTTCCACTTTGCTTCTCTGTGAGGCACTGACCTGAGGGGTGCCTGTGGAGCACCAGCCATGCTCACGGTTCCTGGACTTTTCACGGGGAGACCGCGTGGGGCATGTCCTGCCCATCTTGGTGGGGCTCTGGGAGTCTCCCTGCCGGTCAGGTCCTCAAGGGGCTGGGTGGACACCAGGTGTGGCTTGTTTTCACCCACTGTGTCCTGGTTTTAGATTTTCATCTCACTCTTCCCACACGGTCCCTTTTGGTCAGTTCGAGGTGGCATGCACAGGGGGGCACCGCCACACGCGCTCGAAAAGAGGGACATGCAGCATGTGTTTGGTCAGCACAAACCCTCTGCCAACCTCTGGAGTCACAGCATGGCCAACCCGCCATCTGGTTTTTAAACATTTCTATATTTGTGGGAGTTCATAAGTATTTTATAAACTTCATTTAGATACTTCAAGAAACTTTCAGCTTTTTTTTTAAAGAAGAAAATTGTTTTTCTACTTCGTTTTCCTTTAGGGTCAGAGGATATTTATTTATAGGCCTTTTTTGATAGAATCTGAGGCTGTGTGTGTCTTTGACCACTTTCTCTCTGGCCTCTCCCAGGTCAGCTGCTCTCCTGTTTGGGCCACCAGGAGTCCCAGCCCAGAACCGCTCTTTGCCATCTGTACTCCTTATTAACCCCCCTCTTTTTTTTTTTATAAATGTTACCAGCTTGGTATTTGTTTTAATATGACGTCATCTACTTCAGTGTAGTGTCAGCTCCAGTGGAGGCATTGATCATGGGTGGCAGGAGTTAGGCAGGAGGTAAGGACTGGTCCCGGCTCATTTCTTGTGTGTGCGGTTGTGCACTTCAAGCCGACTGCTGCCCTGGGATAGACTTGTAAGTCCTGCTCGGAGGGCAGCCGTCTCCCCTTTGCTGCGGCTCTGTGGTAAGCAGGGGAAAGCAGCTGCCTCTGCGGACAGAGGAGCTGCATGGACGGGAACAATGTGTAGAGTAGCAGGAGTGGGCCACAGCCTCGTGCCCCTGTCCCTTCTGTCACGGTGATGGGGGCGGCATCAGTTCTGATGGAAGAATTCGGGTCCCCTCCCTGAGTAAGGTGAGGAGCGTGCCTCCTGGCACGAGAAAGGAGACAGTGGTCTTGCCTTGTTCCTCCTGCATCCCCTTGACCATTCGTTTAGGACATAATGGGAACCTGTCCTTGAAGCACAATCATAACCGCAGACTTCAGTTTGTGCCCTGAAGCAAAGCCTCTGGGTTCCTTCGGGGGGGAATTTTTTTTTAATTTCTAAAGTGAATTTTATATTTGGGGTATCTCCATTGAAAGTGACCACCAGGGGCCAGAAACACAGGGAAAATGTTTACTAATTTCCTGAGGCATCCATGACGTGCATTTCTACCAGTAGACGCCAGGAAGACCCTTAACTCCAGGCCAGTTGTCACCTCCACCTTGTTCCAGCTGCTCACTGCCAGCCAGGACGCAAACAGGGACAGGGTGCCGAGGTCTGTTCCGGGCGCTCAGCTTGCTGGACACAACAGAAACTCAGATGCAGCCTCGGTAGCTAACAGTAATTGATTTTATAATTGTAAAATGCATAAAGATTCATTTTTAAAAGAAAAACCTACCAATGACCAATGAAGGAGGTGAATAAACTAAGATATTCTGTGGACAGGGGCCTGAACCTGTGGCCTCCGTCTCCCATGTCTGCGGATGAAGGGTTTTGAATGAAATGCCACTGTGCATTTTCAGGAAAAAAACCTCTGATAAGCAGACTTTGAATGGATGTTTGCTCCTCCTGATCCACTTTCTCTCTCGTAGTGACTCAGTGGCATTCAGAACTGTGAGTGTACATAGTGTCGGAACGAAATCCCTTTAGCATAGACAGGGACAAAATGGGCAGGCGCAGCCCTGGCCCCGCCGCCTGCGGGGCCCTGCTGAGACGTGGGGGCCCTGCTGGGAAAGGTGCCATGTGAAGAACTTGGGTTTTCAGTGGAATGAATAAAACATAAAGTCCTATGTACTTGAAGATATTCTTTGTCATGTGTAGTTTTTTTTAGTTAGAAAAACAGCAGGAACATTTCTTAGCATGACAGGAGAGAGAACCAGTCAGGATGAGATTTCTAGCATGTTTGGGAAGCACAGTAATTGAAATTCTGCAGAAGAAGCTTTCTCGATAGCAAAGGGAAGGTCTGGAGTGTCGATACCATACGAACGAACAGTGGCTGACATTTCGCAGAACTCAAACTCATGCGGCTGTTTCCCTGGGGGGTTGGTTTCTGTAATTTCTCATTAAGCACATACACCTTAAACAGACGTTGCAGTCCTATTAAATCAGGAAAGGATTTAGAAATAGAGGTAAAACAGAAAGAACTGTTGATTCCAACCCCAAACACCATACATGAAATATTAAGGGTAGGTAGCCACTGCCTTCAGGGCTCAGGTTGACTGAGGGATGTGGTTTGTTCACAGAAGTCAGAGGAGCCACTGCCAGGAGTGACAGGAGGAGGGCACACACCACAGTGACAGCATTCACGCAGCAGCCGTTTTTATTTACTTCTTTGTGCTTGTAGGCCCTTGTATTGCCTTTGAAGTTGGTTAAATTTATTTAATTTTTTTTTAAGTAAAGGGATAAAGCAAAGACAGGATCTGGACACTTCATGTCTAAAGATGGACACAGCTTCCCAGTCTAAATGAAAGAAGTCGCAGCCATGGGCAGTGGGTGGTGCAGAAAGTGGGTGGTGGGGCTGCACGTGGTGAGACTGCTCACCTGCCACGAACCTGCCTCGGCCTCTGCGTTCAGCTCTCCTGCGTTCTGACTGGAACAGGCTGTAATGGGACCTGTGCACGTGGGCTGCTCCCGAGACTCCATTAGAATCCAAAACCGAAGAAAGTCTCTGCCCCTCCCCGGCCAGTCTTGGCTACTTCTGTCCCTGTCCCTTCCCTACATCTGCTCGCCCAGCCAGGGGCCGCTGATCGGATAGCATCAGACGCCAGTCAGACCCCAGTTCCAGCTCGTGGAAGTGGGTGCCGAGTGCCAGCAGGCTGATAAATGACCAGCACAGTCCATCCCGCAGCTACACGACATTATCCCAGAGCGGTGAGAAGGGCATGCATGCGGAAACGGGTCTGCACAGAGGATCAGTATTATTTGAAGGTGGACTAGGATAAATTAAAGATGTATATTGTGAGCTCCCCAAAGAAAACTGAAACCACAGGGGTGTAACTCATAAGCCAATAGTGCAAATAAAACGGGATATTGTCAAGTAATTATTTTATCCAAACTGAGCAGGAAAGTAAGAAAAAAAGAACAAAGTACAGATAACAAATCGAAAACAAATAGCAAAAGGTAAATTTAAAATCAACCACAGTAGTAATGACATTAAATACAGACTAAAAACTGCCACGTGACCATCGCTAGACCAAATAAAATGGAAAACACCCAACTATATGCTGTTTAAACACATATTGAAAGTAAAAAAATTGGGAAATATATGTAACATACAAACATAAGAAAGCTGATTGGGCAAGAGTAACATCACACTAAGTGACCTTTAAGACAAGGAGAATTACCTGGGTCAAAGACAAACGTGGGGCCATGATAAAGGGTTCAGTTCAGCTGGTGGACACAGCAACCCTAAAAGTGTATGTACCTAATGACATAGTTTAAGATTCAAAAGAGACGTAAATGAATCAAACCTAGTTGGAGATTTTAACACAGTTCTCTCAGTAATCGATAGAACCACCAGGGAAACATAATTATGTAGAACATTTGGACAATGCCATTTACCAAATGGATTTAATTGCCATTTTAAGTACATACGAAACAGTTGACAAAATAGACTATATGTTTGATTGGAGAGTAAATCTCAATATATTTCAAAATATTTAAATCATGCCGAATATGTTTCCTCATGAAAATGAAGCTAAATCATGGATTCTACCCATAGTCCAGGGACAGAACTGAGCTCTACATCTCACCCACTAGACGTCTGCTGAGGATGGCAGACACATCAGTACTGACAATGGGGTCTGTCTCTACCATATAATATTGTCAAGAGCTGTTTAGATTCTGATCAGCTCTTTTAGATATAATAAAAGTGAAAGAGTACAAAATTTTGCTTCCTGTCAAAATGGAGGAACAGAGACTGGATCCACCCTTCCACCTAGTAGAAAATGCTGATGGGTTTTTTCTCAGTAGTGAACAAATAGACAAAACACTGCTCTTGCTTAAAAGCAAGACCTGAAAGGATGGCCAGACTGTTTATAAGTAAATTACCTGCAGCCCCAAACAAAGGTTCAGGATGTTCACAGTTATGCAGAATTATCCAGTGCCCCACAAAGTAGAAGTCACAATGCCTGGCATCCAATCAGAAGTCACCTGGAAGCAACAAAGCAGGAAAAGACGATCTGTAATCAATAGAAACAGACCCAGAAATGACTCCAGTGATGGAATCAGTAGTTGAGGTTTGTCTGTTATACAATGTAACTGTTAACTTGTTAGGAAAGCCAGCAAGAGATAAGATTGAACATGTTCAGTAGAGACATGAGAGGTTTTTCATAAGCTAAATATGAATTATAGCATGAAAACTACAATGTTTGAAATGCAAATTACACAGGTTAAGAGTAGGGGTGGATTTGACATCACAGAAGAGACCGCAAGTAGACTTGAAGATACAGCAGTACGAACTATTCCAAACAAAATAAAAAGACAAAAAATTGAACTGATTGTCAGTGAGCTATGGAACTTCCCCCGAGGAAAGGGGCAAACAGAAAAAATATTTAGAGAAGTACTTTTCTGAACTTGATATAAACGATGAACCCACAGATCCAAGGAGCTCGAACTCCAAGCATAGGAATCATGATGGGAACTACACCAGGCACATCGTAATTAATGCTTAAACAAAGAATGAAGAGAAAATCAGCCAGAGGAGAGAAGACACATTTCATGTAAAGAACAAAAATACGTAGAAAAGTAGGTTTTTTCTTAGAAATAAGACCAACTGGAAGACAGTGGAGGAACATCTACAAAACAAGAAAAGAAAAAGACAGTTGCCAACCTTGAATTCTTTACTCAGCAAAAATATCTTTCCAAACAGAAATGAAGTCATCCTGGACATGTAAAAGCTGAAAGAACTCATCACTGGCGGCCCCTCAATACACGGAATGTTGAGATAAGTCCTTAAAACAGAGAGAAAATGGTAACACTTTGAAATCTGAATCTACACAAGCATGAGGAAGACCAGAAATGGTAATCACATGGGCAAATATAAGCACTTTTTCTTATCATTTAAATCTCTTTAAAAGAAGATTGAGTATCTGAGGCAAAATTGATAATGCATTCTTGGGTTCATAGCATGTAGGAGTAAAATGTTTGACAGCAACAGTGCAAAGGCCAGGAGGGGTTGTGAGGAGTCCTGGTAAAGTCCCTACAGGATGTGGGCAATGGTGTGACATCACCTGAATGTGGACTGTGACAGAGGGAAAGTGCAAACTACAGCAGGAAGCAACCACTAAAGTAACACAACAAAGAGATTTAGCTAATAATCCCACAAAAGAGGGGGGAAATAGAATTTTTAAAACTCAGTTCAAAAGACAGCAGAAAAGGAGAAAGGAACAGAAAACACACTGGAAAAATAGAAAACATATTGTCAATGGTAGATTCAAGCACAGCCACATCAATAATCACATTAAATGTAAATGGTCTAAATTCCCCCCCTCAACAAACAGTAGAAACTGTCAGCTTGGATATAAAAGCAAGACCCAACTATATGATGCATATAAGAAACACAGTTTACATGTGAAGACACAAACTGGCTGGCGGAAACAGGATGGGTGCTGACTCTAATCAGAAAAGACGCACTGTGGTGGTTTTAATAGCAAAGTTGACTTCAGAGCAGAGGTTATGAGCAGGTCTAAACAGTCACCTCGTGATAAGGACTCAGGTCCCCAGGAGGACATACAGTCCTAAGTGTGTGTGCTCCTAGAAACAGAGCTTCAACAGGATGAAGCAGAGAGGGTAGAACCACAAGAAGAACCAGTCCACATACTTATACTGGGAGATACCAACACCTTTCTCCCAATAACTGAGAACAAGTTTGAAAACTTTGCCCGGCCAGTGTGGTTCCGTGGTCGAGCGTCGACACAGGAACCGAGAGGTCAGTTTCGAGCCCTGGTCGGACACATGCCTGGGTTTCAGGTTTGATCCCCAGTAGGGGGTGTGCAGGAAGCAGCTGATCGATGTATCTCTCTATACATCCCTCTCTTCTCTCCATCTTCTCTTCCTAAAATCAATAAAAACTTTTTTTTAATTTTGTAAGGACAAAATTAAAATTTTTTTTTAATTTTGTAAAAGACTGAAAACAGTGTGAAGGAAGCTGACCTATTTGGCGTTTATACAGTTATTCACCCAATAATAGCAGAACACACATTCTTTCCAAATGCATGTGGAAACGGTCCTTTCTTGGGAGTGGGTTCATCAGGTGCAACAACTTGTCTTACATGTGGACGGGACGTGTATCTCAAGCAGTCACAGACCAACGGGCCCATCGAAACGTCACCACGATGGCATGCCTGGGAATTATTTTCTTTCCTGTTTTCAGTTTTAGCAAGCATGTGTATTACCAATGAGCTTGATAGTTTTTATTTCTTGTTCACCAGCTTGGTTCAGCGTGATGTTGACATAGTGGACCAATGTGATCTGCTATGGAGTGGCAGGACAACAAAGGCCTCTGTGACGAGAAATGGCAGCAGGGTAGTTGACATAGTGCTGAGATAAGCCCGTGTAGGTGTGTTGCTGTCCCCGTCATGTGAAAAGAAAGTGTCTCTTCTGCTCTTTCCAAACAAGTGGGGTAGTAGGTGGGGGTGGGGGAGTTGACTGCATCAGCAGCATGGACCAGGGTTTGTGCTGATGTATTCAGTTGGGAAACCAGCAGCTGAAACTGGAGCTGCCGGCTGCCCAGCAAGTGCCTCAGGCAAAGAAAGTGGTTCTGAAGAGCTCACCAGGGGGCCACTAGGAACTCCAATCACCA